CTACACGACTCCAGTACAGCCAATTGCCTTTGTCACTCTGTTCTCACCCCAGAAAATTACACTGCTGTACATTTATGCTAGGAGAGAAAGGAATCTGGGCTACCTTGTTCTTCCAGTCAAATTACCTGAAGAAGGACATGTTGTGTCTCCTCTATTAAAAAATGGCATATTTTTGCTGTTATATTCAAAGTCTGCTGTTCGTTTCTAGCTGAAATCACCTCACCAAGCAGTGTTCTCCTCCAGCAAGTACTAAAACAAAAATGTTTGAACACCACACAGTCATTTGCTGTATTCCCCAACTGAATGATAAACATACGGTTATGCTCAGAATAGCATCGCTGGCATAGGGCAAGTAGGGTCAGCACGCATGGGAAAGGCACACAGCATTCAGATACCAGACTGATGGCAAGCAGAAGAGAAGAGAGATTTAACAGCAGTTCCAGTCCTCCACCCCTACCCTTTCAGCCATCCACACTTAGACCAATGCTTTTGGTCTTCAGTGCTCTGCCATGCTGCCACTAATGAGGAGTAAAAGCTATGCCCGCAGAGCTTACAGCATGGCTTCTGCTAAACTTTACCTCACATACTGACACAGCTCATGGGCTTGAAACCAGTACCATAAGGATTTATTTTTAGTTCTTATAACCAACTCATTCCACTCAGCAATGAATCTTCAAAGCATAAACAGCTTCAAACAAGAAAAAACTCTCTTTTTATTTACTATCACAGACAAAGCTCAGAAAACCGTTTTCTACAAATGCTGTTTGAGGTGAATTTGCCATTTGGAACAAATGATCAAAACTGCACTGACTGGAGATTAATTTCAGTGACTTGGCCCTAGAATTTCAGAAGCAGCCTGTGGAACACATGCTTTAAAGAAATCAAGCAAGGTCAACAGCATTTAAAAGTCCCATCAAACCAACAGGAAAAAGGTCTGAACCTTAAAGTAATATCTGCTTCTCGAAATAGAAAGGGGAAACAATGGGGGTTGTCTACTGTTTAATACAAGAAAGCAAAAGACCGAAGCAGCAAATATGCAACGACTTTGTATTATATAATGTTCTCTGCCTTTCCTCTTTCAATTCACACCTGAATTCAATGAGATAAAAATAGGAGATCCAAAACAACTGTCCCAGTATCTCACACACAACCAGCAAAAGCAAAGGAAAATGGCACATGCACATTGTCTAAATATTCAAAAAGTACTAACACTTACAATTCATCTGCTCCAAGACCTAACAACTTGAGGGCTGTGAGGAGTCTCCACGATGGTCCATCCCATCCAAAGGTCAGGTTTCTAAAATGTCAGAAGTGATGAGATGCAGAAAGTACATGTGATCTTTCACAGTGTGATAGCTTTCTTCCTGACAAGTGTCAACAAGGGAAGATCTGCTCTTTGGAACTAGACGACTCCTTGACTCCCCTTACTCTGCTGCCACCCACGGCTAGGAGACAGCCTGGACCTTAAAACCCACCTCAAGTTATGACATCAATGTTCATCAGTTCTACATTCTCTCACAAGCAGCAAGCAAATCAGTTTGTTTAAAAAAAAATAAATAAATTATGCTGCATTTTGATTGCAGAAGCAAAATTTGCCTCCCAGAAAAACTGAAAAGAAAGCTCACAGGGAATCAAAAAATGCCAATACCTACTCTAAGAAATCATGATCCTTTAGAATGGAAAGTTTTGCATTTCTCTGCTGGTCCAGTGGTGGAAAATATCTGAGAAGAGTATCTGCATAAAAACACATTTTAGGTATTTAAACAAATGGTATGTAGAAGAGACCACAATCCTCAATTCTGAAACGACATTTCAACCATATTTTTCAAGTAGCTACAGGACAAAGACCAAAACCTGCTACCTTTTGGTGAACTTACACATAATGAGAAATGTATCTACATCTCAGAAGCTATCAGCACTCTCCACAACTGTATCCATATAATAGAAATCCTGACTCAAACTGAAGTTATCTACCACCCTCAGCAACTTCACATTGTGGGGCTCAGGATTTAAATCCTGAAGTCACCGGTACAATCTAAGACATACAATTAGAAGCTCTATATACATGCTGGTAAGTATTGCAATTTTACAAAAGGAAAAGCTACCAAAGAACACTTGCAATTTTAAAGCTTCAGTCTTTAAATTCTAAGCAGTTCAAAGTGGTACCACACTGTTTCACTTCTTGGAAATACAAATATTTTGATGGCACTAAAAAAAAATAATCATAATGCCTTCAAAATCATTGTGCATATTGTGCACTGTGCATATACACACATGCAAGTGCATGAACTTCTTCACTACCCTTTAATTACCACTTTTCACCCCAATCTCCTATTGAAGACAGATATTATTAATATGCTCAGATGCTCTGCTCTCTACCATTCTACTTTTCAATGTTAAGACAACCTATAAATCCAACCTGGTGAGACATAAACACTGCTGTGAGGGTTATCAATGGCAACAAATCCATATTCTAGCAGCAGTCGCTGATTATCATGAGGCCCATAGCAGATAAATACTTCTTTGTATTTTTTGCACCGTGAATTTGTCCAAATTTCATAGCTTCTTGTCTGCTCATTAAATGAAGCCTTTACCTTTGAAAAGTTAAAAATAAAAGGTTTTACTCTTGACAGGAAGACAGGGTGAAAAAGGAATCAAACCTAGATTATTAAAACCCTGGAGTGTTGAACATTTCTCTAACTGGAAAAAGACGATGTCTGAAAAGGCAACCCGTTTGGATGATTCCACGTCAGGATTAGTCTATAAATACTAGTTTGAAGAAGAATAAACACCAAAATCTTAGTCCCCAGAATGTGCCACCCACTGCCTAGACTTATTACAAAGGCCCCAAATCCACAAATAAAGATGGCTTCATACAGAGTTGGCCACTTCTGTGCTATCCCAGCTCTACGTTGGCACACAGTCCCTTTTCTAAAGCTTCCTAGAAGCTTCAGCCAGAGATGAACACAGGGACCATGTAACTCAAGATTTGTCTCAGGTTTGCAGAACAGGGTCTATTTACAAGTGGTTGTTCCCAATAGGTACCCCGGACCCAAATGTCACCCACTGTGGGCTCTCCCTGTACCTTTGCTTTGCTACATAAACTGAAACATTTGAATCATCTTTATTTAACTGTCTTGTCCTGAATAACAACCTCCAGGGTATGTAAGAGCCATGAGTACTCAGCAGGCGAGAGTCTGCAATAGACAATTTTCCCACTACGAGCCCTCTCACTGACCTCCAGACACTCCCAATCCATCACGTAAATGCACACTGTAATGAGATATTGCATCTACAAATAAAGAAATTAAGTGAGCTATTTTTAGTTTCTTACCTGAACATTTGGACTGTGGTTTAGCAAATCTAAATATGGTGCCAACGCATAAACATCTGGCTCAAGAGAAAAACATTCCCTCTGTAAATGTTTCATGTATATTGTCCTGGTATTAATAGTGCACCAAGCCCACCGTAGAGCACTGTAGTTAAAAATAGTTCCTGTGTTCTCAGCAAACAAAGGCTGCAGGGAAGAAAAAAAAGCTTTGGAAGACAGGTACAACTCCTGGACTGTCGTTCTCTGCTCCTGAGCCTTCTTTCTTAAAGGTTCAGGAAGAAGGCGTACTACATCATGCTCCAAACAAACAGGGCAAGTGTATGTCTTGGGCAAAACATCAAGGTACGGCTTCCACAGAGATTTCTCTCCAGCATGCTTCTCTGCTATTAAAAATGCGCACAGTGCTATCAAAGGAGACACAGGAGGCTTCCATCTATTAGAAAATAAAATAAAAATACCAACATAGCAGATACACAGAAGTGAGATAGGAAATGGATGCAGCATTATTTTATCTCCCTTCTAGTTCTTGCAAATGTTATAAATAGCTTCCATTTTAAAATTCTTTGTAGTTCATCCCAAAGTCCTTCTGATGATTTCAAAGGGGCTATAAAAGCTGGTTCACCTCTTGGGTTGTTTTTTTTTTCGGGGGGGAGGGCTGGGTGTGGGATTTTCTAGGATACATAACAACTACTCTATGACCAGCATGGGTCTTTGTTCTGAATTTTCTAAAAGGCCATGTTCATGTGACTGCTTTGCAACTCCATTTTATCCCCCTTCTTCTAGTGAAGCATAATCACAAATTCATAGAATCATAGAATCACAGAATGGTTTGGGTTGGAAGTGACCTTAAAGACCATCTAGTTCCAACCCCCCTGCCATGGGCAGGGACACCTTCCACTAGACCAGGTTGCTCAAAGCCTCATCCAGCCTGGCCTTGAACACTTCCAGAGATGGGGCATCCACAGCTGCTCTGGGCAACCTGTTCCAGTGCCTCACCACCCTCTCTGTGAAGAACCTCTCCCTGACAGCTAATCTAAATCTCCCTGCTTTCAATTTAAACCTGTAAATTCCCAAGAAATCATTCATATCCAGCATTTAGGTCCAAGCTGGCTCTAGAGGCAGGTCAAGTTCATGACTGTACCATCCCTCCAGCTCTGCCTAGCTAAAAGGGGATGCTCTGTGTCCAAACCTTAGTTATCTGAGTGTTACACATGCAAAAAAGTCCACAAGAAATACTTGTACAAGTACACAGTCTAAAGCCCTACCACCACTAAAGATGATCAATCTACTAATGAGGAACCCACAGGAAAGGTCAGCTTGCCCATGAAGGGTCACTTTTCACTTACTTCATAATGTATTCCCCCAAGCAGCTACTAAGGACAGTGTCCGTGGTGAGTAAGCATTTCTCAGGCAATGAAATAACCAGATCTCCTGCCTTTGAGGGAGAAAAAAGAACACAACACACACAAAGAATAATGAAGGCCAAGTGTAAATGATTCATCTGCTATGCGACTTCTGAACAGAGACGTTCTCCAGAGAACACTGATGTCAGGCAGCAAAGAGATGCGACATTGAACTTGACAGAGACTGGCATGGTCTTAAGACAGTCACAGCCCAGGGAAGGATGACAGTTGAGGTCAGTAGGAACTGCCACCTGCAGAAAGCTAGCTGTTCACAAAACAAGTGTGGTGCCTGGCTACTCTCTTCCTTTGTACTGAGATATATTTTAGATCATATCTCACACATACCTGAACTTCTATCAACACAGCAGCACGTGGTAGGGATATTTTAGGCCACATCTATCCTGACCTTGTTTGTGTCTTAGCTTAACCTTGGCTTGCAAGTTGCACGCAGACCTTCATTCACCTCCCCCCTTCTCCAGTGGGGGAGGAAAATCAGAGCAAAAGACAAAGAAGCTCGTGAATTG